CAATTGAAGATATAAAGTCATTTTTTACACAAGAAAAGTATAAAGAAAAAAAAAAGAGATACAACCTATGAAGTAGAAATATATTATTCTCAAATTGAAAAAATAAAATAGGATGATAAAATTTGATAACTTTATATCAAAATGAAATCTCACTTTTTCAGTTCACTTGCAATATTATTTTAAATAATAATAAAAATATGTATTTTACGATGTTCGATGCACTACATACCTTGTTTTTGCCAAAATTTCAATTGCTTACTTGGATGAAGGAAAACACATAAAAGTAAAATTTTCTTGTAAAAGGAAAAAAATGAGAAGGCATCATTTGCGTTAAAATTATTTTAAAGGTCATACTTGTCCCGATTATTCATTTAGACACCTCAACTAGACGTACTACCTATTGAACACCTCAACCATCCCAGATTTGAACCGTACAACCATTTTTTAATCACTTTTCATTAATTATGTGGCGCATGTAGTTAACCTCCCTACGTGTATCTGACGTGTATTGAATGACCATTTAAATAATACCACGTGTATCCGACGTGTATTTGTTAATGCCTAAATTGGGGAAAATTCCTAAATCGTTAACTTTCACAGAACAGTTCTCTCTCTCTCTCTCTCTCTCTCTCACTCACTCTCTCTCTCTCTCTAACTTCACAATTTCTTTCGGTTTCAAACTCTCCATCTCGCGATTCATTCCAGATTGAAGTTCGATTGTTGTTTGATTCCTCTTCTTCGTGTTATGATCTATCCTCCTATAAGTTTGATTTTTGTTTCTTTACATGCTTTCTTATATGAATTTCATAAAGCTCTGATTTTGTAAAAATATAGGATTTGCGAATATTCTGTCCATTCTTTACTATTACCAAAAAGTATGATTTAAATCTTTGTTTTTTAGTTGTTTATATGAGTATATTTCGTTTAATCTAGAGTTTGGTTGATATTTTGTAGGGCTAACAATTGACCATGGAGGAAATCATATTTATGAAGATTTACCATGGTGGAATCTTATCTGAGTTATCTGTTCCTACTTATGTTTGAAACTGTGTTTGCACTAAGGTATATTATCAAGGACCACTTTTCCATTTTTAAACTATTGTATTATACTAAAGAATTAGGGTATGAAACTATTAGAGACTTTTATGTGAAAGATTTATTGAATAAAAAATGAATCCTAATAGCAACTGACCAACATTTAATACACCTTATTAAAGACTTAAAACATGAGGACACTTTTGAAGTATATGTCTGTCATGTATTAGATAAACCCTTACTTGACACTGAGGTAACTATAGGATATCTACCTACTGGTGAAGATGGTGAGGTTGTTAACTTAGGTGAAGAAGGTGAGGCTTGTAACCTTAGTGGTGAGGGTGGCAAGGGTGAAGCTGTTAACCTAGGTGGAGAAGGTGAAGCTTGTAACCTTACTGGTGAGGGTGGTGAGGTGAGCATGTTAACCTAGGTGGAGAGGAAGTGGATGATAACCTAGGTGGAGAGGAAGTGGAAGATAACCTAGGTGATGAAGATGCATCTGATTTCTTGAGTAGTGATTCAGATTTTGATATACCTTCATAAGATGGTTCAAGTATTGATGAGGAGCTGAGATCTTTTAGAGAAGAAAGAAGAAACAAAAAACAGAGAAAAAAGGCTACTGAATCTGAAGAAATACCAATTGGAGAGGCTGGTGGTATAGATAGAGGCTTTGAGGATATTGGAAAGAACAAAACTGACAAATATGCAGAAAAATTGGGTGGAGATGAAGATTACATTGATAGCTCTGACTGTTGGAGTGATGATAAGGATGAAAAACTAGATGTGGATGCTGTTAGGGGAGTAGACATACCTGCTAGAAGGAGAAGCAAAAAGGTTAGGTATGATGAAGATTGTGAAGTTTCAATTTTTGAGCTTGGAATGGTCTTTGAAGGTGCAAATCAGTTCAGTATAGCAGTGGCAGATTATGCTGTAGAGTATAGAAGACAGTTAAAGCTAAGACCTAATGAGAAACATAGAGTGAGGGTGAAGTGCAAAAATATTAAGTGTAAGTGGTTGTTATATACTTCGATTAACAGGGACTCAAGTGATTTTATTGTAAAGAACTATCATCTTATTCACTAGTGTATTCCATTAAACAGAAATAAGTTGTGTAATTCAAAGTTTATTACTATAACGTTTAAGCACAGAATTATATCTCAACCGTACATAAGGATTTAGGAAATTCAAGATTTGGTTAGAAAGACATTGGATCTTTATGTTGGTAAGACTTTGTTACTGGGCTAAACGAAAATTATGAGGGAAGACATGGGTGATTGGAATCTGAAATTTGCCAGATTGTGTGACTATGCAGATGTGATCAAACAAACCAATCTTGGAAGCTCTTGTTGGGTAAAAATTGATAAGGAAACTGAACCAGGAAAGAACCTTTTTGTGTATTTTTATGTGTGCTTTCATGCATTTAAGCAAGGATGGTTGGAGGGGTGTAGGAATATAATTGGATTTTATGGTTGTTTTATCAAGGGAGCTTGTAAGGGTGAATTATTAGCTGTTGTTGGAAAGAATGGGAACAATCAAATGTATCCCATTGCCTGGGCTGTTGTGGATACAGAAACAAAACATAGTTGGAGCTGATTCATAAGTTATTTAATTGCTGATCTAAACTTGGAAACTGGTGAAGGTTTGATTGTGATGTCAGATATACAAAAGGTATTGTTTACACAATTTCTTCTTTTTTTAGTTTTAGTTTTACTACTCCAATTACTTATTCTGTATATACTTTTTGTTAGGGACTTATTCCTGTATTGTTAGAGTTGTTACCAAATACCAAGAAAAGAATGTGTGCTAGACATATATGAAGTAATTGACATGTTAACTGGAAAGGAGAAGAAAGAAGGAACAATTTTGGAGATGCTCAAAGGCCTCATTTGAAGTCAAGTTTGGTGAAGAAGTTCATGCAATGTCTAAGCTATGTAAGAAGGAAATAACAGAGGACTTACTACATTATGATCCCATAAATTGGTGTAGAGCTTCTTTTTTTCCAGACTCATTCCAAGTGTGATGTTGTAGAAAATAACATGTAATTGAGACTTTCAATTCCTGGATCTTAGTTGCTAGACATAAATCAATTATTACCATGCTAGAGGATATTAGACATAAAATGATGAACAGACACATAGACATAATCAAATTTGCTGAAACATGGATATCATACATTGCACCTATGGCAAGAGCAATACTAGAAAGAAACAAGAAGTATTCAAAGAATTGTAATGTTCAATGGAATGGGGTGAATGGTTTTGAGATTAGTGATGGTGAATACTCATTTGTTGTTGACTTGGAGAAGAAGCATTGTGACTGTAGGTTGTGGATGTTGAGAGGTACTCCTTGCCCTCATGATATTTGTGCTTATTATTACTTGAATCAAGATGCTGATCAACATGTAGAGCACTGACATATGAAGGAAACATTTCTCAAGGCTTACAATCATTTCATCCAACCAATGCCCAATATGAGAATGTGGCCTAAAACTACAAATCCATCAATAGAGCCTCCAAAACCAAGAAAAATGCCAGGCAGACCTTGCAAGAAGAGAAGAAAAAGCAAAGATGAGCCTAAAAAATGGGGAAAAAATTCTAGAAAAGGAGTAAAGATGACATGTTCCATTTGCAAGAAAATTAGTCATAACAAAGTTGTGTGTGCAAGAGTAAATAATACTAGTCATATTCACATTTGTAAATTGCTTAAAGTTTATAATCATATGTTTTGTTTTGTGGTAACATAGCATGGGAGGGGGAGCACTTCTCAACTACAAGTCAAGGAAACATCAACAAAGTTATTCTCAAACAAGAGTAAGATTTGCTTTACATATTCATTTGCCTTAATTTTCATTTAGACAGTTATTCATATGTACTTATTTTTGTTCAACAGGTTTAACACAAGGTTCTGTTTGTCCTGATATCAGTGTTGTGTCAAAAACTGTGCCAAGAACAACCCAAACAACAGTAAGATTAGATGATGGCTAGCCTTTAAAAATTCATTTGCATGGAGGTCCATCTACAATGGAGGTCTATCACATTCTACTTTCAGAACCACATATGCAGCTATACAATCAAGTTCACCAACTTCTATTTGTGTTGACACAACATCTGTGCCAAGCATGCTCAAAATAGGGTTCAAGTTGGAACTGGAAGAGGTTTGAAAAGAAAAAAAGCTAATGAAAGAGGAAACCCATTTGTTACATAAAGAGATAGTTCTTCTAGTCAATTACCACCTTTATCAGGCCACAAGAGATCATACAGTTCTGCCTCATTTGCTGCTGCTACTGGAGAAACAGAAGGCCTGCAACTGATTTTGGTGTTTACTCTAATCCTACAACTGGAGCCCAAGTATTTAATGTATGTTCACTTAACATGTTTACTCTGTTTTAGTGTATATTTTATAGACTTATAATATAACCTTATTTTACCCTTTCTATCTTATATTGCATCCTGGTACGTTAAGTGAGAAGATTTTACATGGGCGAACAACATTGAAGAGTGCTTCACCAACCAATATAGACATTGATTTTAAACCCCATGACCTAAAATGGAAGGGAAAAGATGCATTCAGCACCTCACAGTTACAACAAATGAAAGCTAAGAAGAAAAACTGGAAGTAGTTCATTTGGGAAGTTGTTATGATTTTGGCCCATGTTAAATGGGTGTCTATTTGAAAACAATTTACTCTTTGGTTTATTTGAATACTCGTCTAATGTATTTTTGAACATTGTATTTGTGTTAGCAAAGACTATGTATTTTGTAAGACAATGATTTTTTATTGCCTTTCAATGCATTTGTGTTATGTATTTTTATTGTGTGTTATGTATTTTTCAGTCACACATTTGTGTTATTAACTTACTTTTTGAACAACAGCTACACTACCTTTCAATGCATGCCTTTTGTTTTTATCAATAAGACTACTGATCAATTCAATTTCAGAAAAAAAAATTAAAAACACATGGCAAGTGATCAATTCAACAATGATCAATTCAACTCAAACTTCCATTTTGATACAAAATATGAAGGCCATATACCAATTAAAACATCACTAATTGATGTAGAATAGCTACCTAACTACTGCAAAACTAAACAATTAAGTACTACAATCCTTAACTACTATCAACTACAAAATATTAAAGAACCATTTAATAGTTAGTAGACAAATAAAAACAATCACAACTCGGTTAAATTTAACATTTTCCCAATCCCTTTGGAGTTTAACTTCCTTAAGCTTCTTGTTCAATACCATCAATTTCACTTCACTTTCATTCAATTGAAATTTCAAAGAATCTTTTTCTTCTTCAAGCTCTAATACTTTTCTCTTTAGTCGATCAATCGAATTTTGATCGTCTATGAGTCTATTCATTGAGGATGATTCATCAACATTTTCAAGCGACGGATCAATCCATCTAAAATATCAACATCCACCATTTTCCTACAAACCATATAACAGTAGTAAAGCGTAATAAATATACAAAAATATTAATTTTTTAAATAGTACAACAAGAACTATTTTTGTTCAAAAAATAACAAACCTTTGATGCTTTGCATCCAAAAAATCGACAACTTGGGTTCAAAGGAGTCCTCGAAGTTTTCAGTCGACAATAATAACCACACTTGCATATATCAACTTCCTCGATATTCACTGAAATTTGCGACATTTGATAAAAGAGAATTGAATTAAAGAAGAAAAAAGAAACTTGGATATTTAGAGAAGAAGAGAGAAAATTGAAGATTTAGAGAAGGAGAGAGAATCGGAGATTTAGGGTTTTAAATGGATTTTGGGGAAGAGGAATTGGGGAAGAGGATTTTGGGAAAGAGGAATTGGGGATTTCACTTCAACTTTAACATTGAAGTATAATATTAACGCTGGTGCCATGAAGGCAGGGTAAAAAATGAGAGAAAAACAAATTCACACACTCCATTTGTGTGAATCACAAACGATTTGCCATGTAGGCAAAAAATGATTGTACGGTTCAAATCTGGGGTGGTTGAGGTGTTCAATAGGTAGTACGTCTAGTTGAGGTGTCTTAATGAATAATCGGGACAAGTTTGAGTGACCACATATGATTTTGGCCTATTTTAAATATTAAATATAAATACCAAAAAGAAATTATATTAAGAGTTCATTTGACATTTTTTCTAAAAATTGCTTATTTTTGTAATAATTTTTCAGAAAAATGCTTTTTAGAAAAGTAATTTGTGTTAGACTAATTCATTTGAGAAATATTTTTAAGAAGCAAATTGTGTTTTGACTAATTTCTTTTAAAAAGTACTTTTGAGAGTCAAATTAGGAAAAGGGTTAGTACTAATGCATTTTTAATGTTAAGATTATTTTATAGCGATAAATTATTTTTTAAATATATATTAAAAAATTTAATATTGAATTCTTAGAGTTATTAAATTAAAATGTATATACTCAAATTTTCATTCTATATTATGACTTTTGTTTAGATATGATTAGGAATATAGATACTCAAAACAAAGTGGGAGTGGTTTTCATGGTGGATATGGTGGATTAGATGAGAGAAGTGAGACTGAAATAATTCAGACAGGTGAAGAAACGATGCCCCAACCAAAAAGTGAAAGTTTGGGCCTAGGTCAGAGGAGAGATAGATATAGGCCAAATTTTTATCAAACTAAACTATCATATAAAACAATTTATCAAAATAATACATTTTTCTAAAATTTTACAAAACTAATATAAACGTATTTCACAGTATTGTTTTAGAATATATTTTGTTTTTAAAAACTAACAGTGTTAGGTTGATATACGTTACTGTAAATACGGTTTTACTCCTAAAACGTTATTTTGAGTAACGTTTTACGCCTAAAACGTTACTGTAAGTAACGTATTATGAGTAAAACATTACTGTGAGTAACATATATCAATCTAATGCCGTCAGCTTTTAAAAAATAAAATATACCCTAAAATATTACTATGCAATACGTTTATACTGGTTTTATAAAATTTTAGAAAATGTATTATTTTGGTGGATTGCTTTATAGAATGACTTAATTTGGTCAAAACCTCGATATAGGCCAAAGATGCAGTGGGGACGTGATTACACAAAAAATGTCAGTTCTTAGATTACCAAGCATATGACCTTAGATGGGGGGTATGTAGCTCAAGAATTAAGGTAAAGGCTAGTGGATAGTCGTGCACAGTTTAGTTTCACTTGCTATTATTATTATCTTATTATTATCTCTCAGCAATTTTTGTTGGCACTTGTCTTTTTTGCTATGGATCATGTTATTGGTGTAGTAACTATTATTTTCTCTAGTATTTTCAACATGACTTCTTCATTATGTATTTCTTTTTTCAAACCTTCTTTGAGTTGTTTTACTTGAGTCTAACATCTTTCAAAAACTATATTCCTATCTTCACAAAACAAGGGTAAGGTTTGCGTAAATATCACACTTTCTAGATCTCACTTGTAGTGTTATACTGAGTATCTTTTTTTCGTCGTGTTGTATACAAGTAGATAAATGTGAATCTAGTAACAAAGATGAGAAGGTTAATAGGTGCACTTGTTTGGTCCACTCTACTTGATCCAAGGCCTCTGGCTCTTATCACTCAATCAGGAACAGTTCTCTTGGGGTTAGTTTCGTGTCCTTCGATATTTGTTACTATCTGTTTCACAGTATGTTTCTTCTACTTCAATTTGTTTTTTTTCTTGATCCTAGAGTCTCTCTACATCTGATATAAGGGCAAGGTGTGCGCATGCTCTATTGCTAGATGTGTTAGAGCTTCCTAAAACTATGAATCTTTAGAGGATCTGACAAAGTGTGGAAACTCTTTTGAAGAATCCGAGCAACATAACATATTAAGATGTGCTACGATACTAAATTTATCCACAATTTTCTTAACAGAGGATATTATGTAGGAGTATTATCAGTGGAGAATACTGGACAACCAGCTGCACAATACTGTACATTCAGAGGCAACCTAGTAAAACTAAATGTTAGAAGTGGTGCAATTATATGGAAAACAGATACGCTTCTAGACAATGGTGGGCGCCTCGGAGGATATTCTGGCGCAGCAATATGGGGAAGCAGCCCAGCTATTGACATAGCCAGAGGACATGTCTATGTAGGAACTGGAAATCTTTACTTAGCTCCACCTGAAGTGCTGAAATGCCAAGAAGCACAAAACAATCGAACAACACCACCAGCTGTTCCTGATCAATGTTTTGGTAAAGACATTCATTTTGATTCAATTCTGGCACTGGATCTAAATTCTGGAAAAATTGCTTGGGCTACACAGCTTGGAGGCTATGACGTTTTCACTTTCGCATGTTTGGTTCCTAAAAATCCTAATTGCCCACCGGGACCTAATATGGATGTTGATTTCGGAGAAGCACCTATGATGCTAACCATATTTCAAATGGAAGAATTCATGATGTTGTGGTGGCTGTGCGGAAAAGTGGCTTTGCTTGGGCGCTTGATCGCAACACTTAAAGTATTGTTTGGTTTAAGGTAAAGTCTTATAAATAAAATGTTCATCTTTTTAAGTACTCTTCACATCAATATCAATTAGTGTTCGAATTTTTTTTGTGATGTAGAAAGCAGGACAGGGGAGCTTGGAAAGAGGAGGAATATGGGGTGCAACCACAGATGGACGACGAGTTTACACGAACATAGTCAATGGAAACATAGTACTTTTCACACTAGCACCTACAACTAAAAACACAACAGCTGGTGGATGGGTGGCAGTGGATGAAAACACAGTCCAAATCCTATGGACCACTGCAAATCCTAGCAAAGAGACATCCCCTGAGCCGGTCGCCATAGTTAATAGAGTTCTCTTTGCAGGATCAGTGGCACCTAATGGACCTCTCTATGCTATGGATGCCGGTAATGGAAAAATCTCGTGGACATTTAACACTGGGGCTACTATCTATGGGGGTGCATCAATTAGCTATGGTTGTGTGTATATTCTGGTCTACCTTAGTTGTTCCATCCAACTTGGACCAGTGGGCCTTCACTCTTTGCATTTTGCATTGTGTGAAATTAATACATATTGATAAATTTATGTATTTTCTCTTTCTAATAATAGTTGTGATACTAATAAGTTAGTTACATAGGCGTTGATGATGTAAGTGTATTTCACTTCATACTTCAAAATGATAGGTTACACCTAGAATGTATACACAAAGCTAGACACAAAAGTTCAAAAGCATATCTAATCAAATCATGCCTTTACCTACAGTATTTGACTATTATCCTACTTACTTACTTACAATATATGACTATTATCTTACACACAATTTAAAAGTTTAAACACTCTTTGACAATATCTTAACACTCCCCCTCAAGCAAGAGCATACACGTCATATGGTCCAAGATTGCTACAAATGTATTCAATCCGAGTTCCTCTAAGGACTTGGTGAGGATATCTGCCAATTGGTCATTTAAACCAACAAAGCTAGTGGAATTGCATCCGAACTCAATCTTCTGCCTAATGAAATGACAATCCACCTCTACATGTTTCGTCCTATCATGGAAAACTGAATTTGAGGCAATGTAGAGGGCAAGCTGATTGTCACATATAAGCTTCATCTGTTTTAAATTTCAACTCTTGTTGATTCAATCAAACAAGCTCGCATGTAGCAAGAGTCGTAGCTCAATATTCTTTTTCTGCACTAGATTTGGCAACGACATCTTGTTTTTTACTTTTCGAAGAGATTCAATTGCCACCAATCACGACACAATATCTAAAAGTAGAACGTCTATCTGTTGAAGAACCTGCCCAACCCGCATCAGAATATCCAACAATATCAGTGTGACCTTTATCTTCATATGACAATCCCTCTCCTGGAGCTCTCTTTATGTATCTTAGGATGCAAATCACTGCATCCCAATGATCTTTACATGGATCTTGGAGAAACTGACTAACCACACTTACTACAGATGAAATATTTAGGCGTGTAATAGTGAGATAATTCAATTTACCAAACAGTCTTTGATATCTACCAGGATCTTCCAATGGCTCCCCTTGTCCAGGAACCAGTTTGATGTTTGGATCCATAGGATTCTCAATAGGTTTGCAATTTAACATGCATGTCTCCTCCAATATGTTCATAGCATATTTCTTTGTGAGATAGAAATAATTGTCTTGATTGTGCTATCTCAATTCTCAAAAAATTAATTTAACTTCTCCGAATTTTTGGTTTGAAACTGATTGAACAAATGTTGTTTTAAGCGGAGACATTCCTTCCAGACCATTTCCCGTTATGACAATGTCGTCAACATAAACGACCAAATACATTTTCTTTTCTGGACCATTATGTCAATAGAGAACAGAGTGATCTACTTTACTTCGAGACATCCCAAATTGTTGGACAATAGAGCTAAATCTGCCAAGCCATGCTCTCGGAGATTGCTTGAGGCCATACAGAGAATGTTTGAGACAATATACTAAGTTTGACCAACCCCCCGGAAAAAATCTAGGAGGCTGCCCCATATAAACTTCCTCGGCAAGTTCATCATGCAAAATGGCGTTCTTAATATCTAGTTGGTGAAACGGCTAGTGATGCATTTCTACCAAGGAAATAAGCAGTTGGATAGATGCAATTTCGGCAACGGGGGAGAATGTATCACCATAGTCAAGACCATAAACGATTATATCTCTCTGGTTGTTGATTTCGGGTAAAATGTATCTTTGCGTATGGAAATTAGTGGTGTTGTTGCATTAGATGAATGCATGACTGGAGCAGGTAACAAAGGAGCGCAAGAGATGAGCCACCAGGAGTTACCATTGTATCTGAACTAAGAGTAGTACCATCATTGTTATCACAAAGAGGAAGAGCACGACGTTGGGTGTATACTTAAAGAGAATGATGAGTGGTTTGAGGAATGTCCGGAAGACTGACTTGTTGTAGGTGAGAAGTATAGGTATTTGGCAAAATTTGAGGAATTAAATTTCTGCTTGCTTGGTGTAAATAGGGAGACATTTCAAAAAATGTTACATTTTACAGTAGGCATAATACATATATTGGACCTTAAACATGGCTTCAAATTTTAACTTTGACCTCTAACTTTCATAATGCACAAACAGGCTTTTTAACTATCCAACTTGTAAATAAATAAACACACGAGTCCTATATTGCACAATACACGTCGGACACCACGTAAGATAAAAAATGACATATAGGATGACATGTGTGTCTATTTGTTCAACTTTATACAAGTTTAAGTGTTTATTTATGCATATCCAAAGTTAAAGGACATAAATATGATTTGAAGCCAAGTTAAAGGGTACATTTATGTATTATCCCTTTGCGAAATAATTTATTTGTATTTTGAACCAGAGCACTTGTAACCTGTTTGGTGACGAGAGTATCCTAGAAATACACAATTGATTTTGATTGGAGTTTGTCATTTCTAGTACTTCGGTCATGGACAAAGCAAGTACATCCAAATACTCTCAAAGGTAGACGATAGGGATTTTGACCTGGAAAGAGAATTGAGTGAGGACTTTGATGTTGCAACACTGTTTCATATCCCCAAAAGTGAAAAGGAACATAATGTTGTATAAGAGAAGCATGAGCAGTTTAATGAGATGCATATTTTTATGTTTGGCTAGTCTATTTTATTGAAGAGTATATGCACAAGAAGCCTAGTGCATGATTCCTTGAGACAACATGAAATTGGAAAAGGGAGATAATAAGTACTCTTTGACATTATCACTGCGTAATACCTTTATTGAAACACCAAATTGATTTCTTATCTCAGCACTAATTTTTTGAAAAGTACTTCAGAAAGATTATTCATTAAAAACACCCATGTGCAGCAGAAAAAATCATCAATAGAGATAACAAATACTGAAATCCTAAAATTGAAACAACACGACTAGGAGCCCATACATCTAAGTGAACAATGACAAACATAATATGTGGCCCTATTATTGAATCTTTTGGAAAATGAAGTGCAACTATGTTTTCCAAGTTGATAAGACTCACATACAAAAGAAGACAAAGTGGAAAGACTAGGAATTAATTTTGGAAGCTTTATAAGACTTAGGTGACCAAGACGATTGTGGAGGAGATCAGTTAATGTAGCGGAAGTGAAGGCAACTAGTGATGGTGATTTAGACATGTGATACAGTCCCTATGACTCATATCCTATTCCAATCATCTTCCCCATTCTCCGATCTTGTACAACAGATTCAGCCAAAAAAGTGACACAACAATTGAGGTGTTTTGGTTAATTTGCTAACAGAAATAAAATAAAATGGGCATTCAGGAGCAAATAAAACTGATTTTAAAGAATTAGAGGGATGAAGTTACACTTACCCTATTCCTTTTAGGGTAGATCTTGATCCAATAGCAAGAGTAATTGCACAGAGAGTTGCAAAATGAATAAAATTGAAGAAAAGATTTGATTACTAGAGATATGGTCAGATGCACCGGAATCTAATATCCATGGGCATGTGGGTGAAGACCTGGTTAGAAAAGTAAAGGAATTACCAGTTCGTGAGGTGATAGATAAAGGTGACTATCGTGTAGCCGCTTGATCCTGGAAGTAATCACTATAATCTACTCCAGACAAAGTAACAGAACTGGCTATTTGACCACATGTGTCTTTATGGGTCTTAACCATGTGAGTCGTACTTCGATTGTTAGTATGTGGTGGTCGACCATGCAATTACCAACAAGATCGTTGAATATAGCCTAGCTTGTTTCAGTAGTTTCAATATGGTCTAGGTTTCTGATAGAATATGAGCCTTCACTTAACAAGTAATGGACCAGGTCCCTTACTACACTCCAGAAAAATACCAGAAAATTAAATGCAGTAAAATCAACACAATGATTTTACGTGGAAACCTCCTTGCTTAAGGGAGTAAAACCACGACCTGTCTCACAGGATTTTCAATCGTTTTCACTAATCTTCAAAAGCAAAAGTAAAACACGATTACACAGAACGTAAGAAAGAGTTATCAATCTTACCGTTAAGCAATAGTCCTCTATTGCTTAACAAGCCTAAGTAGAAAACAATCTACCCACTAAGCTATCCCACCAGGACAACCTAGACTTTTAACACAACACATCAGTTCCTTTATAGATTCAGGAATGGTTTACAGTTTAAGAACAAGAGAATGTATTACTAAACAACTAGACGAAAAGCTCCAGATATTGATGTTGTTCTTGAAATAATTCTGCCTTTGCTTTGTAGTAGCCTTTGCAAGAGTTCTTGAAATTTTTTTATCAAGTTGCAAAAACTAAACAAAAATGTTTAGGAAAGTGCCATTTATATGAGCAAGTCACTTTCCTAAACTTCTTTGCCATTGGCTAAAAAGTCACACTTTCTGACGCCATCGAGAAGTGTGCACCTACTTTCTGTATCGTCTCCAGCTGGCAATCAACTAGCTCCTCATCATGAGAGCCTGGTACCTCTACTAGGTCCTTGAGTTAGTTTCATCTAAATACTCAAAAAAGAACCCTGCAACAGGCAATTAAGAAACTGGTACCTTTAACAAGGTCCCCAGGTTTGTCAAATCATCAAAACTACAAATAACATTTTCCCCCTTTTTGATGATGACAAACACTGAAACCATGATCTAATATCCTTTCAACTTTGTTCCCCCTATTTATATTCCCCCTCACTACATTCCCCCTCACTGTTTATTCCCCCTCACTAAAATATCATTTAGCTACACACAGTTTTACTTCCCCCTTTTGGCATCATAAAAAGAAACACAGTAAACCAGTGATGTGAGCATAAACACTGAACATGATCAAAGCTAAAAAGCAATCAAACAGTAGAGGAAAAGCATTCGCAAAAGAAGATAAGAAGAACAACAAAAGAATAAAGTAACCAACATGCCATCATAACATAAATACATTAAAAACAAACTAAAAATTCATCGACATATTGATAAGCCACACAAAAAGATGACACAGGGAAGGAGTGATTAACAGTCTAGGAAGAGGGGGGAGTTTGAGATAGGAACTGGATAACAAGAGTGAGTCGTGCATTGGCAGCATCATTATCCTTGATGGCCTTTTCTTGCAGGGCAGTTATC